TAATGCAATTAGACAATTGTGTACTGTTCTGAGATTGAGAGTGACTAGTTGTTCCGTGACTCTTGTTTTCTTCTCTAGCCCTTCTTGAGTCTGCTTTTTCATTATAGTAGCTCTCTGACTCCGTGTGAACTCGTAAGTACGCTTTTTTGAAATTTTAAATTCTGTTCTAACATTTTCATGCTTATTCAGAAAATGATAAAAGAAACATTTTACTAGTATATTTGGTATCATAATTCGTAAAAATCATAGCAATGCCGAATTCAATATGATAAGTAATGCAATGTGAGTTTTGGAATCTCTTACATAATTTTCACGATCCGTTTAAAATTTGATTAAAAAATAGCATATTGCATTTGTTAACTAATTCATCTTATAGGAAAAAAAACATCGTCAATATTCATTGTTTTTGTTAAAATGTATTTTTTTATAATATGTTGTCTATTATAATGAGTTGTATTCCAATAGTTATGTGTAATTTTTTGTACACAAAAAGCTAACAAAAAACGATTTTGTCTAAACAAGAAAAAAAAAAATTAAAGGAACATGATGTTGGTAAACTACAACGTAAACAAGTTAATTAGGATGTGGTCTCAAGAGTTATAAAAGTAAATCCTACATATACATTTAACAAGGGTTAATTTACCCAATAACTATAAGAAAAAAAGAAAAAGAGAACCAACATTTACTGTTTTAAATTTTTGTTATTGTTTGGAGATATTTACTAGTATTTTATAACTTATTGAAAAACGACAAAGTGATGCGTAACATGTGTTGCAGAGTTGCCAGGTGGTGGTGTTCCACCTAAATACGAGTTATGGAAAAATCTGATTTTGTTGGCAGAAAAAATCTAGATTTTTAAATGCATATGGTACTGTAAGGAAAAAGGTTTTAATACAACATGCTGTACTGTAAAAACAACAAATTTTGTTTTAAATTTTAAATAGTTACCAATAATAAATAAATATACATGTATTTATAAACGAGTCGGGTTCAGGGGTCCAAGCCGAATTACTAAACGATACTCATACCATCGAATCATCGATTTCCAGCGTAACCTTACAAATTACTGTGACCTTATAAATTAAATTTCGGTTTTTTTTTAAAAAAAAATATTATAAAATATAGTAACTCACAATAATTTAATAACCATAATACTGGATATGGTGTTTACTCCGAACCAAATTACACCGTTGAAACTTTTATTATTAGGTAATTCCAATAACAAGCCGTGCAAACCCTACCTTGTCCAGCAAGCAAACATAAAAATTTAGCCCGACCCGATTCCGTAAACACTCGGAGCCAACCTTGGCTTAGGATGAACCACCAAAGGAACCGCTCTTTGCAAAGTAATCCCATAAGTCTCCTCCATATTCAATTTCTCCGGCGTAACTCCTCCGGCTAATTCCCAATCAAATCCGTGAACCAACGTCGCAGTCAACAACTGAATCGTCCTTAACCCTAAACTCAAACCGGCGCAGATTCTCCTTCCGGCTCCGAACGGTATAAGCTCGAAATCGTTTCCTTTCACATCGACGCCGGATTTTTCCCCTCCGGGTAAGAATCTCTCCGGTCGGAATGTTAACGGGTCGGACCATTGATCCGGGTCACGTGCTATGGCCCAAATGTTGGTTAAAAGTGTTGATCCTTTAGGGATTTTATAGCCGTTGATCTCACAGCTCTCTGATGCCATGTGTGGTAATGAGAGTGGTGTTGGTGGATGTAACCTGAAATTCTCTTTGATAACCGCCTGATTTTAACCAAGTTAAACCGGTATTAACAGTGAACCAAATAAATCAACTGGTTATTCGGAGTTCTTGGTTTGGTTGACACGGTTACCTGGAGGTAGGGGAGCTGAGAAAGGTCTGACTCGTTGATGGGCCTATTACGGCCCACTACGGAATCAAGCTCTTCTTGGGCTCGGGTCATTATATCCGGGTGACGGATTAGTTCAGCTATGGCCCAATCCACCGTGCTTGCCGACGTGTCAGTTCCAGCCGTAAACATGTTCTGTATTTTTTTAACCACCAAAAAAAAAAAAAATCGATAATTTTCCCAAGCAAAATTGGAAAAATTAACATTTTGTCGTATAGATTCCAAGATTTGCCGACAAAAGATTCAGATATACATTTAATGAAAATCCCATAACATTTCATTAATATTTTAAAGACTTTTGTAAAAATAGACTTTTTTTTTTCAGTTGTCCATCAAAAAGGTATTCGTATTTCTTTATAATACACACCTTATCGTTTTTTTTTGTTTTTTTGGTCACACACACCTTATCGTTTACTCAATAAATATTATCATAAATTTTATCAAACAAATGATAAATACACATAACCACATCATGTTGTAATTTATATTAGATCGACAAATCTATTTAATGTAGATAATGTCCAAAACAAATTTATAGAAAATCATCCACGTAAAATGTCAAAATATTAATCTAATATATACTAGTAGATTTTAGCAATTCATTGGTCTAATAAAAAAAAAACACGATAGTGAGTTAGTGACCTCATGTATTTTTCCAAAACTACACGAAAGATCCGTCTTTTTCTTGTAAATAGCTCAAAAGTTGGGTAAGTTTCATGGAATTATGCATAAGATATAGTAAAATATAGTAATAATTAATTAATTAAACTAACCAGAAGCAATGCTTTAATCTCAGTGTCCGTGAGTCTTCCTCCGTCACCGTCAAAATCAGTTCCTTTAAGTGAGATTAAAGTGCTAAGCATATCTGTATGCTTTTGATCCTGACCGTTGATACTCTCGTGCTCTTTCAAAATCGACGATAGAAAATCGTCGAATCTTTTGTGAAGTCGTTTCATTTTACCAGCTACGCCTTGTAAATCTAACCAATCAAGAGCCGGCACGAAATCTCCGATGTTAAAAACTCCGGCGAGAGCCATCATTTTAGTCACCATAGATCGAAACTCCTCCGCTTTGTGATCTGCTCCGGCGCCGAAAAGTCGCCGCCCGATCATCTCTCTCCCAAGCGCGTTGACTACACACATGTTCACTAATTGCCCTAAGTTCACTGGTTTCGTGCCTACACGCGCTAGCTCGCGCGTGAGTGTTCCAACCTCTTCCTGTAAAAAATAGATTTAATGATACTCATTAGAGCATGATTATATGTAGTATCAGGGTAATATATAAATTTTATAATATTAATTATATTGGGATTGATG